GGATAGTTTGAGGTTATTCGGAGCTGCCTGAGTTGGCTGTGTGTCGTTAAGCCAGGACTGGTTGCGACACAGCTTGTTTTTCCCTCCCGTTTCCCATTGCTGGCTCATCCCTTGGGCCTCTCGTGAAGCTTCAGTTCGTGCTGCACCCAGAGCAATGCCCAGGTTGGAGCTGAGCACAGTCTGTGAATCCTGGGATCAGAACTTTGCTCACAAGCCGAGCCTGCCAGGCAATTGCTGCATGGGGCCTCAGTCTGAGAGCTAGTTTGTGCTCCTTGAGGTTGAACAGTGCTGCATATAATCTAGCATAGGAAACGGATATCATAAACAAAACAATCTTGTATGTTGTTAAGGTCCAGGGAGGGCTTTCCATAGACACCTGTTCAAGTAGGTGATGACAGCTGGGAACATTTTTTTCAGTCAGGGTTCCTTGTGCAGCTGTGCTTATGTTCTTGAAGGATAAAACAGCCTATCATCTGAATCATTTTTTACAGCCATAAGAAATTCTTCTCCCTGATGGTTTATGTAGCAGCAATCAGAAACCGTATATGCTGCAAAACAATTTTTAAGAGAGAAAGAGGAGTTAATAGGATTTGAAAAACAATGAAACATCATCAGCTTCAGTTGTGGTAAAGAACATAAAATAGCTTGTATAATCATAAAGATTGTTCATTTTCCATATGTTGTTTCAACTTCTAGATGGCATAAGGAACAAGATATCTAATTATTTGACTGATAGCACAGTTTAGCCTGGAGCATAAAATACCAGCTTATGCAATATAATCAAAGAATGGACAGAAACTTTAAATGTACAATGTTTCAAATATAAATAGTTTACAGAGTCAAATGCCCAAATAAATTTTTGTTTGTTTGTTTTTATGTAGCATGACAAATCGCACCTCCAAAACTTTGTAAGTTTTAAACATCTATTATTTAAATAACCAAAATAAGATGTTTGTACTAGAAAAATATGGTTAATTTCACCCTTTTCTTCTGTTTCTGCAACCGTTTACACTTCTTTCTTTATAGTTAATGTAAAACTTCAGCAACTTTGTTTTGATTTTAAGTATAATATATACTTTTGTGTGTACAAGAAGCTGAGGAATCTGGTTTCAAGTGCTGAATCAGTAAATTAATCCATATTTTTCTGGTTTGTTTTGCTTGTTTAAGACATTTGGTATTAAGGATTTTATGATTTTCACAGATCTATTCTGGAGCTCCGTGAAATTCCAGACAACTTGGATCAGTATAATCTTTCTTACAAAAGACACAGGTTTTCACACTAACTACAAGGGGTGGAAAAACTAAATCTCTGTGAAAGCAGCCAGTGTATTGGAGCCTTTTCCAACTCAGAAAGAAGAAATCGTTATAACAGGAGGCCCATTTAAGCCCATCCATGCTAGATATTGAAGCACTGTGCTACTCTGTTGATGCAAATATTTGCCCTCTATTCTCAACAGAATTGAGTCCATGAAATGTGTAAATGTGTTATGGGAATAGATTCCAGGCAGAATTTGGAGGGTGTTTAGCTATCCTAACTTCAACTGAAGTTCATGTACTGATGTTTCCTGTCTGGCTTCTGGTGTGTTCATCTTCTCTGCTCGGCTTTGTTCTTCTGTGTTACTTTTCAAAAGTGAGAGGTAGCCAGTTTTTTCTTTGATTAGACACAAAGACTTAAGTGTCAGTCTTTGTTGTAGCAGTCCAAACATGGCGTTTTGATTGGATTTGTACTGTAAAACACAAGACTTCTTTAATTTTTTCTTATTTTTGCACTCTGAAAGGAAGCATCCCTAGATCTTTTTCTAGTGTTCGTGACACCACTTCGCTGAATGGCCAGGACCTTAACTAAATATGTTTTAAGCAAATAAATCAAAGGGTATGTGTCCTCCATGCTAATGCCTGAGGAGATTTGTTTAATGACAATGATGTGTTTAATGCTTTACACAGGCCTCAAACACTCTTAAGCTATAGTGAGTAAATTGGGAAAAGTCTCTGCACTTTGACTTAAAATCCACTTTGCGAAATGGAAAGATGCCCATGTGTTTCCTTGACATTGAGGCTTTACAGTGCTAAACAAACCTTTTTCATGTCAGAAGTTGAGCAATCAAATTCTGAGCAGGTCAGTTTTTTTCCTGTCATTTGACTTGATTTTTGTGATGAGCATCTGGATATTTTTCAGCAGAAGTAATATATATAGTGATAAAGATGGTTAGTGGCTCTGAAGTAGCTCCTGAAGTTGAACGTTGTCACTATCTGAGTCTGCTGGTGGTGCCTCCTTGCGTTGTGTGGAGTTGGGATTTGGGCGACATTCTGCGCGCACTGAAGGGAAGGGTCAAGGTGGAACACACCAGGCAGCAAATGTAGACAGACACTCTATGTTCTTTGCTTCACAGAAATTTTCACATGGGGCAGATTAGCATTAATTGTTCAGATTAACATCTACGCACAACCTACGTTGAGGTGAGTCATCAGAAACTGCTCAAAGCCCATGACGCGGCTGGGCGAGCACCCCATGCTCTCCCTGGCTGAGCCTTGCTCTCCTGTGGCTCTGGGTGTTAGAACAGGCCACAGTGGTCCTGCCTTCGAAGCAGCGTTCACTTGCCAAGACAAAATGAACCCTCTGGGGTAGATCAGATCTGTGACCTTTCTTTGACTGTCATCTATGTGAATGAAATAATTACATTGACACCGATGTTATCAAGGCACAGTTGAGCTATTACCTTAATTATACAACTTCTTGAGTTATTCTTGCATTCTCCCTGCAGGCTCCTAGAAGTCAGAGCTCTAACAACACATGAAATTTTTTTTGGTAGAGTTATGTCCCCTAGAGTTGTTGAGAAATGGTATAGTTCTACCAGAAAATTATTTGCAGCGTAGACCAAGCTCATAGACACCTAACTTTGCTTTGCATTTCTGAAGTTTCCTTCACAACCTTTTGAGGCAAAGACTTTCAATCTATTTCAATGTGGAATTACTCTGTAAAAACCTTTCTAAAATTTCTCTTTCTGGATAATTCAATTCAATACGTGTATGCTTACTCCAGTATAAAG